GCACCGGTTACAATTATATATATTAAAAAAAATTGTAGTATTTTCTACTTAATTAACTTTAAAATAACGAGCTGAAGATCTATACTGACATTACATCTATACAATTATTTTTAATTTTTTTTTATTACAACACGTACGGAAAATTAAAAAAAAAGAAAAAAATTGAAGATGGAGATAGTAATACAAAGTTGCTAAAAAGGAGTATGACAATAATGCAAAATCTTTTTTTAACTTTGTGTGTGCTGACAAAGAAAGTGATCTTGATTTGCTAATCCTCTAAACTCAGACAGCAGCCTCACCAAACTTTCAATCAACCTCACTATTAACTATAAACCATTTTACCTACATTAATATACTTATATACATACACCATATGTGTGTGGTTGTGTGTGTGTATATATATATATATATATATATATATATATATATATATATATATATATGCTTACAGCTTATATATCTCCATTTCTCTTTCTAATCCTACACTCTTTTGGATTCATCATTCTAAACCTTTACAGATACACTGTTTGCTACCTTTTGTTCTGCTATTCAAGAAACACTGCATTTCTCCTCTGTTCTTTGGGAGCTGCTTTAAAAAAGAAAAAGTAAGTATTTCAAGAATTTATTTATTAATCGAATTAATCATCTTATTCACATCTAAATTCAGTATCTTGATCTGGGATTTGCTTAGATTTCTGCGTTTCTTTAATATCCAATCATATTTTTCAAAGATTCCGAAAAAAAAGGTGGAGTCTTTATTAGATTCTTCAACTTATGCTTGCTTGGAAAAGAAAAGAAAAAAAAAAGATAGGAAATCTGATTCCCAGAAAATGATTCCTATTTAATCAAAATCACAACTTTATTTATTTATTTATTTATTTGATTTTCAACTTCCACAAAAAAAAAAAACAAAAAAAAAAAAAAAAGACAAGAGTTCATCTTAAAGAAGGTGAATTGTTTTGTTTCAGACATGGAAACCTTGTGCCACAATTCATATACACCGGAGTCGTGCTGGCCGATAAACGGCACAACACGGTGGACGAAAGAAGAGAACAAGAGATTCGAAAGCGCGCTAGCGATGTTCGATGAGAACACACCGAATAGATGGTGTAGGGTTGCGGAACTGATACCTGGAAAATCGGTATACGATGTAATGAATCAGTACGATGAATTGGTTTCGGATGTAAGTGATATAGAGGCAGGTTTGGTCCCAATTCCTGGATACTTGGCTTCTTCTTTTACATTGGAATTATCAGATCATCGCAGTTTTGATATGTATAGGAAGAGAAGTGGTATCAGGACTTGTGATCAAGAACGAAAGAAAGGCGTACCGTGGACCGAAGACGAACACAGGTCATTTTTTTTTTTTAATTTAATTTCTAGCTTTTATTGATTTTAATTCATTGTGATACTAATAAAAAAAGAAATTATAATCGAGTTTTTTGAGTGTGTTCTTGATTTTAGATGATTTTAAGAAACCTAAGTATATGTTATTATGGCCTAATTTCATTCCAGTTTAGGGTTTATTTATTGCAATGAAACTCCTTGTGTTATCAATATCAGCAAAAAAAACCCTTATAATGCAATTTTTTTAGCAACTTACCCTCTAAAAACTCACCATTTAGGGGATTGTGTGCTAAAAAAATGCATCATGGAGGGGTTTTTGGTAATATTTATAATATAGGGAGTTTTTTTTAGCAATTCAATATAACACAGGGGTACTAATTGTAATAACCTTTAATAGGTCTTTGATTGGTATATTGATTTTTATTTAATTTTTTCTTGTTCTGTGAGAATTTAGTACTAGTTAGTAATGAATTCATCTTAGATATTTGTCTCCACATGTATATATATATATATATATATATATATGTGAAGTTTATGTTGATTGAATTTGTTTCACAATCCCATCTCTAAAAAGAAAAAATACGAAAAAAATGCGCAGGCGTTTTCTATTAGGACTTCAAAAGCACGGGAAAGGAGATTGGAGGAGCATATCAAGAAACTTCGTAATCTCGAAAACGCCGACACAAGTAGCAAGCCATGCTCAAAAGTACTATCTAAGGCAACAAATTTCCGGGGGCAAAGACAAGAGGCGACCTAGCATCCACGATATTACAACGGATAATATCGCAGACGCTACTAATGTTGTTGTTGTTTCTCCGTCCGAGACAAAGAAAACGCCTCCTCTTTCCGAGAAATCGAACCACTCATTACATCCGTGTTGGACTGGAATAATAGTAGATAATTAGTAGCATGAGAATATATTAATGATAATATAGAATATAATCACGACATCAATGATGGACCGTTGATGATTTTCGGACCGACATGTGGCGATTCATTCGTCTCGTGTACGCACGACGTGGGCCCACGCAGTCGTTACATACGTAATGTGGGACGTGGTTCTTCTAGTCCAGGTATTCATATCCAGTCACCGAGATTTCATGGCTGAGGAAGCTAGTGTAACATGTTTGTTTAATTAAGGATGTTTTAGTTAGGGCAAAAAGAAATTGTGGATTGAAATTAAATGTTTTGGTGGGAAAAGTGAGTACTATAGAACTCCATATGTACTGAATTTGTTCTTATTATTATTTGAATCTTAATTAGTGTATATATATTAAGTCAATGAATTTTCATGTGATGATCCTTTTTTTTCTACGTGGTTTGAATTAATTAGGACAATTTGTTTTTAATTAAGGTTTTGATCATATCACACATTGTGTGGTCTGGTGTGAGTCTGAATTCCACTGAATTGGGGCATCTTCTGCTTTTACACATCATGAGAATTTAGAGTTCCACTTAATATTTTTATTAATAGTGCAAATATATACAGGTATTATTAATTATTTAAATGATAATAAAGCCTTTTCTTGATTGGAAATCTTGTAGTTTAGTTGGACATGCCATGTATATGCACGTTGATTGGTCAATAGTGACATATTCCACATGAGTGCAGCTTCTTTGAAAAGTCTATAGGGATATCATTATTTTTCAGATTCTTAATTATTTCACTTTCTTTCAAAATAAATATCACTGAGGGGGTTGAAACTATTTTTTTAATAATTTAAAGAAAAAAAATCAAAATCAAAATCAAAAGCAGAAGGCAAAGGCAAAGCTGTAAAGCTAGTGGCTTTATTTACTAGAAAGAAAAAAAAACACAAGTAATTATGTTATACTACTTAATTAGTTGCTGATATATTAAAAATTTAAAACACACACACACACACATATTATTATTATTATTATTATTATTATTATTATTATTATTATATATATACAGTTAAACCTCTATAAATTAATACAGTTGGGACCATCAAGATTTCATTAATTTAGCGAAATATTAAATTATCGATAAATTAATAATTATTAATTTATACATTAATTATTAACGTATTAATTCATGAAAATACTTTTCTTATTATTTTCAATAAATACATTTTTTAAAATTTTTTACGTATATATTATTCATTGTACAATTCGTTCAATGCACTATAGAGCCCGTTTCACGAATGGAAGCTCTTAAAACAGTAATGGTATAGAAGGATTTATGTTGAGTTATGAGAAAACTATACCGAAAATTCTAACCATGTTAAGAAAAGTTAGGGACGAGATTGATGGTCTAGTGAACTTCTACAAGAAACAAGTGAGAATTAAATTATATTATATTAAGCCTTCATAGATCAATAAAATATGCACTGTACCATGTAATTTAAGAATTTTTTCTATGCATTATTAATTTATATATTATATGGGGCTTCTTAAAATTTCCGAATGTGTATTATCTTATAAATTTAACGAATTATTAATTTAGCACGTTGTCCCCGAGTCGGGACCGGGAAAATTTATTATTTAAGCGAGGTTATTAATTTATCGGGTATTAATTTATCGAGGTTCTACTGTATATGGTACATCACACAGATTAGTGGTTCTTGTTTTGATACAGTAAGTCAGTAACCTAGCTAAAAAGAAAGGGTAGTGAGTTGTGTTGTCACCTTGCATGTATGAACATGCATTTGAATGAAAACTCTCAACTTTCTGATAATTTGATAGGATGTATATCATATCTTACCTTTTTCTGAAGGTGCATGTACTACACGCCGAGTGCTTTCTTTAATTTATTGAAATTAAAGAAAATGGAGAAAGTATTCTTCTTGCTCTAAAACTATAACTTGGTGCAGTGTTTTACTTTCTAAATTCTATATTTAATTCTTATTTTTTTCTGTCTGTAGAATTTGTAAGAGAACTTATTAAAAAATAAAAGTACGATATATATACCAGTGTTCTAAAAATCCGTTGAGGCAGTCGATTAAAAACTCCCTGATTTAAAAGGTGATAAGTTGACATTGACTTCACTTATCTCGATCGCACCCTATCCTCATGCCTTAACGTAGAAGGATTAGTTCCACGTCTGTTACTCTTTTATATCAACTCCCAACCTCTAATTTTATATATATATATATATATATATATATATATATATATATATATATATTATTTTATTTTTTTGGTAGTTGATGGTTAAATGCAATATGAATTAGAAGACATAACACATCAATAACCAGAGACAAAAATCCAAGGATCCAATAATTATAACTAATTAATTTGCTCTATTAGATTAGAAGCATCCAGCACTGCAACAAAAACAAATGAATCACTCAATCAATAAATATTTACACAGCTGAGAACAAGTTGGCAAAATTCTTCTTACCCTACACAAATTTAACAATTCCTGATTGTTTGAAACTGCAGAGAGCACACACTCACCACAGAGTTGCATGCTTCCTACAACTCCAAAACTTTATTACTCCGAAAAACTGTAGATACAGAACCAAAAGGGCGAAAGTGTCCATCAAACCAGACCGAAACAAAGTGGAAGGCTAACAACGATGAAGGGCAACAACACGATTTATGAACAAGAAGAAGCCTTACACATGAATTACAAATCAAGAAAATTGTTGGGGTCCAAAGGCTTAACGGTAGCAGGAAAATCCGTTCTTGGCCCAGCAAGCGAATAATACGCCAGTATATGCGCAGGATGCTCCACCATAATTTTCTCTCCATCTTGATCCTGTACATAAACCTGTCTCGAAGGTATCAACTCGATGTTCCAGTTAGGCCTAACCATGGTTAACAGATCCCGACCATTCCCAGACGCCCGATACCCTTGCACCCACAAATACCTCAACGCAGTCAACTGCAGTGCAGCCATAGCCAATGCTCGTTCGCTAAAACAACAGCCTCTCATTTCCAGCTTCTGCAAACTAGGGCACCCTCTGGAAAATTCTAGAAGACCTTGGTCAGACTCACCGACATATCCGAGAAGCATCCATCTCACATTTGGGCTGTACTTGCCTATGTAACCCAGTCCCACATCGGTCAAACCACCGGGGCGTAGGTACAGCGCGAACCTTCTGAGTTTGTGGCAGCCCATTAGAAGGGATCGAACTCCGTTGTCGAGGGGTAAATCGGTAATTCTCTCCTCTCGGTCGAGTAGGACCAATCGGAAATCGCGTAGGTTTTTCGAGTGGGCGCCCATGCACTCCAAGGATGCGTTTGTGATGTCGGATACGTAGACAGCTAGGTACTCGAGTTGAAGGCAACCTTGAGCAAGAGCGATTAGGCCTCTCTGTGAGACCACACCTTCTTCATCTTCCATATCTTGTTCGTCTGCTCCGCGCTCTATTCTAAGTCTTTTCATGCTCTTGCAGGATTGAGCAAGTACCTCCAATCCTCTGTCTCCAATTACATTTCTTGTCTGTTGCATATTACCAAGAAAATCACATTATAAAAATGACATTTTGGTAATAAAAAACAACAAAAATTAGGTGCAGAGATAGTATTTTTTTTCCCGTTTTTCCCCTTTCTCTCTCTTTTAACGAGCCCTGAAACTTGTCCATCTATTATGATAAACTTTTGGTCAGTTTGGAGAATACTGTTATCTGCCTTAACATATTAAATGAACTTATTTTTCGGTTGAGTTCACTTAATATCCATCTACCCCTCTTTGTAAAGCTTTAAGATAGTTCCATCACAGATGTATTTTTATAATAAGTTTTAAAATTACAATAAATAGTTTTAAAAACAGTAAAAGAAGCCAAATTACAAGAAGGATAAAAACAGACAAGTCATCACAACAAATTTGTCACCACCAAGAGCATTAAAAAGGGACAGAAATTTGAACTTGACAAATAAAAGAAACCAATTCAAACAAACCAAGCACATAACTAGCACAAGGGAAAGGCATATCGAAAATGGAGAGTCGAAACAAAGCCTAAAATTTTTTACCTCAAGTATTTCCAAGTTAGGACATCTTTGCAGTAACAGACAATGTCCTTCAGTGTCCAGCAGAGCATAAAGGAGATCGAGTTTCGTAAGCCTAGACGCAACAGGATAGACAATCGGCATTTCTGCTTTCCCCAAGTAAGTAAGACCCAAGCGGCACAATTTCGGTGGAAATACAACGGGAGCATACCTTTCCAATTGCTCATTAAAAACACCTTCACCGACCTGTCCAGGAGGTTCACTGAAAGAGCCTCCACCAAACTCCTCCAGCGAAGTTGCTGCTCTGAAAAACCCAACAAGGTCTGAAATATCACAATCACTAATTTTCATCGAGACCAGAGATGGGCATCTTCTTGCTATCAGTTCGAGGTCTCCAGATGCGATTTTCATGAGATCGGTCATGTAGAAGTTCAAATTTTCGAGGATCGTGTTGTTCAAAGCAAGCTCGTGCAGCCATTCTCCGTCATTTTCGATTATCGAGCACTCTTCCATGAACAAACTTCTCAAATTCCTGCAGATAACATATGTTAAATTTGCGATTTGCAAAATTTTGAGGCCGAGAGAAAATCAATTTTCCTATTTAAGAAATACAGTTAACATTGCATATTCCACTGCACAAGTACAAGTTATTTAGGTCCTCAAAGAGGTTTCACTCCAAGATTACTACGTAAAGATCATACATTTTGACATTATAATCTGGCCTTGTGGATTGTCTTAAAGATGAGGCACATGATAATTTTAATACAAGGATGTAAGAAGCCACTAAACCAACTTTTTGGTAGTATCTGATCTGATAAGTCTGTCGGTTACAAGATTGATTTTTTTAACATTACAATGCAAGTAGAAAACATAATGTACCTAACTTGCCAAAACACATCGCAGAAATCTCACTGCAGAGTATTGCTGAATTATGGGACCTAGGCTTGTCCTAATAAACAGGCATCTCTCCCGAGTCTTTTCCAAAACTCTACATGCATCTACTTCCACTAAGTTATCGTAATAGAGATAAAGATGACTCAAAACAAAATCAAATTGTGAAAATTAGATCGACCTTCGGCATTACTGGTTCGTCCGAACAGCAAATTTATAAGCCTGAGTTAAATTTGCAAGGGTGTTTTCGCCCAGTGGACAAACCTAGAAGGGTGTCATTATATATTGGACCAACCTTACAGGAGGTTAGTGTAATTTTTAACAAGGGTGAAAGGGTCATTTGCTGAAACACAATTTATTTCAATTGATGTTAATATAGTCGGAGACATATGAAACAAGGCACATTATATGGGAGGTTCCTAGATATAGTACGAACTCGGGGAGGTCTCTGTTATTAAGAGTAACCAAAGCATTTGACAATCTGGCAATATCAAAAAAATGTTTTTTGGCTTATTAACCAGCCAATGCCAGAAAAGGTTTGACTTGTTCAGAATCTCACATCATACTAAAATTTGTAAAACTGAATCTTTCCTTCTAAATCACATCCTGGTTTGTCAACTTTAGCTTAACCACCGATTGCAGAAACAAGAATATGTAAAGTATTCATTTGGTACTAAAAACACCAAAACCTTACACAATAAAGCTCTTCAAACAAATCTATCAGGTTTAAGCAATCAAACATGTCATTCCCAATTTACGAAAGACTATTTCGAACATGCCAGATTACAAGTTCAGTCAAGAAAATCTAAAAAGGTTGTATCCAGGGATTGTTAACTTTGATATCATCTAACAATCCACAGAATCATAATCAATTGGATACAACAACGAGTCAAATTTCAAAAAGGAAATCAAACTTCAATTTCAAACTAGATCCAAAAATTAACAAACAGAATTATATACAACATACCAAAACAATCAAGCAAAGTAGTTCAAAATGAATGAAGGAAGCAGTACTAAACACTATGTATCGGTCTACCTGCACAAGCGCCCGATACGCAGAAGCCCATCGGTAGAGAAACCGGAGCACTTGTCCAGTCTCAAGACTTCTAGAACCTTCCCAGTGGAGGTAGCAAGCAGCTCAAGGTCAGAATCCTTCACAATCATTCTGCGGAGGTGCAGAACCTTCATCCTCCCAAACGACCTAACAATTTCCTCCACCCACGGCGTGACGAATCCGCCCCAGTCCTCAGGAATCAGATTGAACATGGAGGCGCGTGGCTTGCCCTTGAGCTGCAGAGACTCGAGCTGCGGGAACCGCCGGGACAGCCGCTGCGGGGTGGCGGTGTAGCAGAGGGCTATCGTCACGTGCTTGCGCGTGATGCGGTCGATCTCGTACCACCTCCTGCACACCACCGACACCGCCTCCCGGTCACGCGCGTCCTGCACGTACGGGATGACGCACTCCCATACGGTGTCGTACGCTCCGCTACTGCTGCCGCCGCCGCCGCCGCCGTCGCCACCTCCACCGCTGCTACAACATCTGTTCAGCCTAATTCGCTTTTTCCCATCCATTTTCAACGATCCTTCGATGTGTGTCTGAA